CAACGCTTACATAACTTATAAACAATGTATTGCAAAACGTACCCTCAAGCTTCGTCATAATGTCTGATGCAGTATTTTGTCACAATTAGTTTCACCATGAAGCAAATTATGCCAGTTGGCAGTTCATCCCTCGCAAGCTGTTGAATGGTTGGGAGAAGGTATGTTTATTAGAAATGTTGACTGCCATATATTCGTTTCAAATATATCCTTGCAGTCTTCCAGCAGCTACTTTTTTAGAACTTTTTTTCTTCAACTGTGCAAATAACCGCACACATGCAGCCTACTACTCTGGTCGCGCTTTTAACAGAAGCAGAGCCACATGGCTCCATGGGACAGCTGACCAGCAATGTGACAGCGTTCGCAAAGAAGAGAAACCCACAGAAAAACAAACAAAAAAAAACCGCCGCGGCTGAAAGACGAAAAAAATGGGAGGTTGGCGTAAAGGAAAGCATGTGCTTGGGAGGCTCGGGAGAGAGCACTTTTTTTTTCTTCGGTTCAAACCGGAATTCAGGCCATAGGTGACCGGTGATATGGGCAATCACAGTGAACTGCGGGATACGACGGGTTCCGGTTCGACACCCCACGCGGGTTTGCAGTAGCACGCAAGCATTTTTGTACCGCTCCGTTGAAAAAAAACTCTCCGTGCAATGTCAGTGCTTTAAAAGTTGTATATATTTTTTATAACCATGACTGTGATGATAAGCTACAAAAGCCATGAACAGTGAGAAAACTTATTTATTGCACTAAAACGATCTGCAATGATTTTATGCTGTTCGGGGGGTACTGTCACTTTCACTAGCAGATTAATTGATACCGAAAACACTTTTCATTGTATCATACGTTACTGCAGATAAAAAAAATGCCATTTTAAAGATCTCAGGGGATGCGGATGGCTGTAGCAGTGTGCTAAGAGTTCATTTTGGGATCACTGCTTCGGCAGACATCATCGGTCGATCGATATCAGGCGCCGCACTTATTGAGCGCGTTGAGATATTTTTTTCTAGCCTTCAGTGCTCTATAAGATGTACTACTTCTTAGTCGAAGCCAGATGCTTATTTGAACGCTGATCTTGGTCAAGCTGCGTGGCACAACGGCACATAACCAATGCAGGCAGACATAAACATCGCCGAATAATCGAAACCCTGCGCTTGTTTAACAAACTTTTTCCTTTGGATGCCATCCTGGCACACAGTTTGACCAAGATAAACGCAAATGGACTCGCCCAGTGCTTTGTGTAAACTTACTCTTGAGTGAAGCTTTCACGTTTTTTTTTTTCATAATATATTTCGCCCGCGTGTTTCCATAATATCTTCGCTATGTGCGCCTGCACGACAATTTATTTCTCAATATAATAGTCGCGTCAAACTTATCCGTAAGCGTTTTTTAGGGTGGAATGCACGCGTACCAGTGATGAAATGCTTTACGCACACTCTGTCTTCAACGTTCCCTACTCAAAGGCTGCCTGTCTCTGTAGCTCTGTTATCCACAGTCAAGCCCACCTCGTTTTTAGATTCTGAGCACTTATAACTCGCGCCTTGTGATTGCGCCGTCTCGTCGTCCGCGCCGTCGCACAACGCTTCCGAACATTCGACGAGCTGACGCGCGCGCCATGGCTAGCGCGCCGTCTCCCACTCTTCCACCATCTGTTGCATCCCTTTCCTCCTCTACCACCGCGCGCGCTTATCACTTTCCTCTCCACCATCGTTCAACCCTTCCTCCATCTCACACCGCGTCGACATCTACAATTCTCCTATTCTCCAGTGACGGCGCATGTGGCGTCGCGCTTCGAGAACATTCAACAGCTGACAGGGCATGCGCCGCTAGCTTTATATATACTCCAAACAAAGGTCGGCGCTCGCTTCGCTCAGTTGCCGCTCGTCGGTTGGTTTGTACGGCGCGTCGACGTCCAAGGTCGCGGTGAAATGAATTCCAACGAATCCACAAACACAATGATCGACGTCCCTTCGACCAGCGCCGCCCTTTCGCATACGTGTGTACGTGTTCACTCATTTAACACCCCCTCCTACAACCACGTTAACCAATTTAGCCATCGACCCAAGTAAGTCGCAATTTAACACCCCATTTCACAACCACGTTAACCAATTTAGCCATCGACCCAAGTAAGTCGCACTTTAACACCCCGTTAACCAATTATATGGTCCGCATCCTCCTCAGTGTTCCCCCGAGGGAAGCTGCGGGCAATTTTTTTTTTCTTCGTTTTATGGGAATTATACCTGCGTTTGCCGTTCACGCTCGAGTTGTAGCAGCCATTGGCGGAACAACCAAGCGTGGTTTATGAGGACGAAGATAAACGTGCGACCGCAGCACGAATCCCGAATAATCTAAGGCTTGCGGCGAAGCGGTTCGCCGTCGTCTACTCTTCTCGAACCAGAAGCATGTAGCAGACGGTGCATTCCACAATTCCTCGCTCTTTTACTGGTCACCTATTGACGTCGAATCGGTACAAAATGAACTGCAATGAAGTGGGGAAGAGGAGAGCTTTGGGGACGGAGACTGGCCCTGTCGCCCTCTTGCACCCTTCGGGACCACTACTGGGCATGGCACAGCACCTCTGGGGAGATGGTGTAAAAGGGAAAAGGTGGAAGAAGGAACAAACAGGAGGTTGTGGGCGGGACGTCCCCCCGTCGATGTGCTTGCTTCACGAGGAAGCGAGAAATTTCCCTAGAAGTTGACAAATTTTTCTCTTCCCCTAACTACAACCAGAATACCCTAGACCCAGGAAAATTTCCCTAGAGTTCACAGCACTGCCTGATGATGTAAGAAGCACGCGATATCCATCAGCTCAACCAAACATATACAGTACGAGCTTCTTACACCACTTGTCTCCACGCGCCACCTGACAGGAAAAGCCAGCTATTTGCGAAAATCTGTAGGACAACTTTCCAGCGGGTTCTTTATTTTCTTGGAGCAGGCTCTTCTTTTTCGTTCACGGAATGCTTTTCTCGCTTCTTGTGTTTATGTTGTTTCCAGTTCCAGTAAAGTCCATTGACTTGGGGTCAGCCATGAGGCGCGACAATGCCGTACCAAACTTTCAAGAACAGCAAAAAAAAGACATCTGTGGTCTTTTCATGCTTTCACGGCTATTGAAACGGCTGCAGCTTGCAGTCACGTGGTGAAAAACTCTGTAACACGGGTTAAAAAATTGGCGTGGTTTCTGGATGTTTCACTACAAAAGTCGTAAAAAGACCACAGTCTTGCGTTTGGAGAGAGTGAACAAAACGTTTATTTGATCTGTGTGACAAAATCGGTGAATTGTATTCTGCAGGCGCTGTATTAGAGAATCTCAATCCGTGCAAAGGTGACTGAGCGCATCGAGGCACGTTATACTCGAGCGTTGTTTGGCAGTTATCTTCGAAAACGAATGAACGCATGCGCACCCGTCTTGGAGGCGATTAGTTGTAAAACGCAAAGTGATGGGCAGGAGCCACCACCGATTCCTCTAGCAAAGCGTTCGAAACACTTGCCTTTTTGAGCATCGAGTTGCACTGTCAGGGCCGCGTGATAAATGCTACGGTCCTTAGAATTGCTTATGTGCCTTCTATAATGTAAAGACACCCATACAAAATAGTGACGTGTTGTTATGGTGCCTGAGATATGCACAATAATTGCTTTTTAATTACTTGCTTTGGCCTCAAATAACGCGAAGCACCATACAACAACATGCACAAGCCACTTGTTGCTGTTGATGTGTGTTTCTTTACTTTGTGTTTGTGGGATTTGCGGCCAAACCATGCCATTAGGAAAATACCAACTAGGCCAACAATCAGAATTGCTTTTTGATTGAAAATCACACATGTAACGCTGAAATTTGAGCAGTATTGGTGGGCGCTGCGAATGGCGTTTGCCATTTGGGGTATCGCTTGGTGCCATTTGGGTACTGTTATGGCAGATAAACAGACAAATGTACAGACAGACAGACAGAACAACATTTTTGCGTCGAAGTACCCCAAAAAAGACTATCGTCTTTAAAATCACGTGATAAAAAAACTCCCCAAGAGGTAAAACTAGATTTTGATATTCCTTTCATACGTGCCTCAGAGGTAGGGGTAAAACTGCCATGTACCACCTTTTACTGCAGAATGCTGAAGTAATTTCGAACGCTTGAGAGTTTTCAGAAGTCATGAGCCGCCATACCCCTAAACTGGAATAGTTTTTGCTTACAGTCCAGGCTAAGTGTGCAGATAAAGCCACTTTCCTCCACGAAGGAAAGCACGCGTGGGACACGAGCACGCATCAGCGCATCGCAACGAGCTGGATGCCGACCTTTACGCAGAGTGCGCTCATCACGCCATTTTGCTGGTAATGCTGAAAACACGCTATTTATCCCGTGGTAGGCATTAACAGCTTGCCGTTTCGATGTCGAATGAGGTGCTCATTCTGAGCTCAGTGGCTAACGCTGCGCTCTCGTGAATGAAAGGTGAGACGCTCGATTTCACTCACCAGAGTCTTGAAATATTTTTTTCTTTCTTGCGTTTCCATATGTACAAGTAAGTATACATATATGTCGAATGACGGCAATGCCACCGGCGAAAGCCGGCCAACAGTGTCCTTATTACTGCTATCGTAAGCAAATTGCTTCAACCGTGTACTCGGAAGTACCTGTAGCAAAATTCAAACGTCTCCAAAAAGAATTTTTTAGAGGACAATTATTAGACAAGCATTTGCGATGAAAAATCAGGCGCAGTTTTCTTCAAAGTGACTCTTTATTCCGGTTACTGCTGACCAAATATGGACATACTTGCGTTCTTGCCAGTATTATAGCATAAGGACGCCACTTTTCCATGAACTTGCTGTTGCCCTGTAACTTTCTTTCTTTTATAGCTTTACCTGTTCATTTATTTTGGGGGCAATGTTGATTTTGCCCTTTTTCGACAGAGATTGTGGAGAATGGATTAGTTAATATGATATGATCAATGTCACAATAGCGGTCAAGTCATAACAGAACACAACTGTTCCTCTTGTTCTTTACACAGGATGACAAAGCCAACAAGAAAGCCAGGACGAAGAAAAAAAAGGCACCTTGTGGGACGTGGTATTATAACTTGAGCGAAAAAGAGCGTCGGGCAGAGGATAAAAGGATAGCGCGTGAATTGGCGCACGTGGAGGCAGAATTTTGCGAAATTGAAAAGTTTGAGATCACGTATATGCCTATCGAGTACCGCACGCGAGGCAGTTCACTGAGCCCGCGCACACCACCTCCGAGGAGCTCTCAAGAACCCTCAAAGAGTCCTCATTCTCCCAAGCCGTCCACCAGAGAGACTGGCCTCCTGGAGTCGCTCCACGCCGTGCAGCCTCAGAGACAAGTGGCGTTACGAGAGACCAATGGCATGGTTGTCTCCAGTTTCGACGATGAAGGCGTGCAAACGATTCGAAGGTCACGTCAGAGAATCGTGTCCAACTCTGATTATGATGATGCTGCGAGTCCGCCCAGTACGTTTAAGCGCAGCGTCGCCGATCGCAGAAGGCTTAGCGAAGACGCTGATCAGAGCAATTCGCGCGTCGCGCAGATCTTGAAAGACAGGGAAATGTCTGCCGCGTTGCTCCACTGCATCTCGGAAGAGGACGTTCGAGATGAGAGGGACGCAGAGTGCCCGCCCTCGTCCCTCACAAAAGCTGACATCATTCAAAGGAGGAGGACGAGGATCCAGAAGCATAAAAATATTGAGCTAGTGTCTTCCGGTATCTGCAGTTCTCGTGACGAGGCGAAACCGAAGCGAAGCCTTCTTCAGACGTCTGTCGAAACTCCCAAATCCCGCAGGATTTCAGGTGACGTTGAGTTTTCTGCTTGAGAACTTCGTTTAATTTAGTTTTGCACCTCACGTGTTGGTCTTTGTTTGTTACGTTGTGTAGAAGGTAGCAAACCAAGAAGCGAAATGGTAAATAACTAAATGCACTTGAATGCACACTGCGAATGTATAGCGCCATGTTTGCGGGTCTTCCTTTTCTACTGGTTTGTTGTTTTTACTGGCTAGTTATTTTCACAACTAGCCCAAAAGTACATCGTAACGATATATTGACATAGTTTACTCAATTGAAGGAGTCTTAAGCATGCAGGCTCCATGCAGCCCCCCCATAATTTGTCTTGCTTTTCTCTTGTATTTTCGCCACAACTATGTTCTATGCTACACAGGCTTCTGCAGTCATCACATAGTGATAGACAACACGGAAAGAAAACTATATAGCTTCCAAAATTGGCGTCCAGATAATAGTGATCTTCAAGGTATCTGTCCATCCTGGATCTAAATCCACTTGCGAAATGAACCATATGTGAAGTAAGTCACAGCTTTGCCGCAAAGGCAAATCAGTGAACGCGATAGCAACAAATTGGAAGGTCACGTGCAGAATGGCAAGCAGGTCGAAAATGCCCCACGTTTCTCACGCAGCAATGACGCACGAAATCTACTTGGAGGTACAGATGAACGCAAATAAGCGTCTCAGTTGTTACTTCATTGTGTCTGAAAAGCGCACCCTTTTCGCAAACGGAGGCTGTGCAAGGATTTCCGCAACCTTTGTGCGCCCGGTAACTAAAACAGAATCGTTCCATGTGCGCTCAACGCCGGTCAAGACGTGATCCTCCCCACCGAGATATAAGAGCACCCAAGAGATTATCTACTCCTCTCAATTCTGTGGGCCAAAGTACGCGTGAGAGGTGAAAGCTGCCGCGCGCTCACTGCGCCATCTTGCTGATAATGCTGAAAACACGATAGTTCTCTCCGAGATGCCTGCCAACAGCGGTAAGTAGTAGCTATAAGTAGCTTGTCGTTTAAGCGTTCAAGGAGGCACCCATCGGTGGCTTAGTGGTTAACGCCTTGCAGTGCACATCATGTGCACTGCAAGAAACACCGCGCATAAAAAAGTGTAACTGAATGCACTCTGTCGAAGTGCACATCTCTACGAAAGCGACACCACGAGCATCACGCCCCATATTATTTACGGCCTTCACTGATCGCATGCAGCTACTAGTGCAGAGCACGCATTGCTTGCTGTAGCAGCTCACCAGCGGTACGCGACACCTGGATTACGCGCTGCACTGTTTTGGGCCTTAAACAACAGATGCGAGAAGGGGGCATCAAACTTCAGTTCATGTCTCACGTCATTTACACGAATTGTATAAGGCTGTAGACATAATCAGTGGTGACCAAGGTTGTCAGCAGTGTTGTACAGGATCTTCTAAAACAAAAATTGGCAGAACCTCCATACAGTGTGAATCGATGATATGCGACGCGCGAGTGAGGAAGGTTGATATGTCACTTCAAAATCAGCACAACGTGATGAGGCGCACGAACGTAGTACACACTAAACATAAGTACAAAAGTTACGCCCACACACGTGCCCAGAAAAGACGAAATTTGTTTAGTTGCGTAATGACGGCACCGCTAACATTTGCAATACCAGCACCAGTAGTGTTGTCCGGAAACGTGTACAAGCCTTCCGTGTATTTATTATCATGCTCACGTCTGCCCCGCCGCGGTGGTCTAATGGCTAAGGTACTCGGCTGCTGACCCGCAGGGCGCGGGTTCAAATCCCGGCTGCGGCGGCTGCATTTCCGATGGAGGCGGAAATGTTGTAGGCCCGTGTGCTCAGATTTGGGTGCACGTTCAAGAACCCCAGGTGGTCTAAATTTCCGGAGCCCTCCACTACGGCGTCTCTCATAATCATATGGTGGTTTTGGGACGTTAAACCCCACATATCAATCATCTTGCTCATGTCTGTCACTTGTGTTCGTCGTTCATTCACGCCACATAATACAAAATTTGGTATATGTAAAGCTAGTGAAACGGCTGCGAGCGCACTGTAGCATGTAGTCACGTTTTACATGACACTGATGTGGTTATGATGTTTGGAGATGTCGTTTACTTTTGTCATCCATTCTGGTTACTGATTACCAAATTTGGTATATGTGAAGCTAGTGAAACCACCGCGAGTGCTCTATGACCGTAGTATGTAGTCATGTTTTACATGGCATGCAAATCCTGATTGTCATGTTTGGAGGTGTCACTTGCCTTCGTCGTCCATTCACGTTACGAAATACAACTTGTGGTATAAGGGAAGCTAGCGAAACGGTTGCCAGTGCATCATAATTGTGTCATGTCATCATGTTCGTACATAACACGCATGTAATGATTATCATGCTTGCACCAGTCATATACCTTCATCATCCATAGCAAATTTGGTATATATGGAGCTAGCGAAACGGCTGCAAGCGCACTATGAGTGTAGCACGTGGTCATGTTTTACATGACAGGCATGTCATTATCATGTTGGACGTATAATTTACCTTGTCATGTCATATTGTCATGTTCATACATGACAAGCACGTGATTATTGTTTGCACCAATCATATACCTTCGTCATCCATTGACATCACGTAACACCGAATTTCGTGTATCAGAAGCTAGCTAAAGGCCACAAGCGCGAGACTCGCGCGTTGGATTTTGTGCTGACCGGTTGGCGTATTTAGAATGGCTGGTCCCGCATCGCACAAAAGAGAGAAAAGCAAAAAGTGCGAGGATGACGCCTGCGCCAGCGTCAGGATTGCTCGCGCGCGATTGCTTCGCCTCTGGAGCTGACGTCCTGGTGATGCGCGTGCTGGTGACGCAGCGACACTAACTAAACTTGAACACCTGCACCTCATTTTCAGCCATGCTCTCAGCTCTACCATTATTCCTCTCCGGCTAAGTGGCGCAGCGCCCACCATAATCCATGGTAACGCTCGCTCACTGGAATCCATGGACTCGCACACTGAATTCCGTGCCGACCAGTTGTGTCCTCATGATCTGTGACGACAGTGCAGCTCTGGCTGACTGGATTAGCCCTACGCTATCTACTGTCGCAGACAAGAGCTCTCGCAAGTGGTGCCCCGTCCTCGGACTCCTTTGACCGTGTTTCATCTTTCCTATCTCTTATGTCGTCACTCACTGACTTTGCGCATCTCTCTCTCTCTTCCTCTATACCTTTTATCCTATCCTTTTGATCCTTCTTCACCCCCATCCTTTGTGAGCTACTGTTGAGGTGTCACACGCCGATGCAGACAGTTACTGGGCTCACTTTTCTCTTCTTTTCCCTCTTACAACCAGAATCTCAATCTTCAGCCATACTCCTCGCTCTGCCATTTTTTCTCTCCGGCTAAGTGGTGCAGCCCCCGCCATAATCCATGGTAACGAGGGACGGGGTCGGGGATACACAATAGGGTAGGGAAGAAAAGATTTCCGCTGGGTGCTCTACCTATTCAGGCGCCACGGAAGCCTAGGAGAGGGCATTAACCCCTCAAGACTGCCCGCTTCGTGGTCGTTTAAAGCAAAGACATAGGGCAAATTTTCCCTCAGCCACTAATCTCTAGAAGTTACGCCGACAGTCTCAATGTCGTCGTCGCGGAGTCATGGAAACACAGAAAAGTGTTTACGGCTGTTCCATCGTGCGGGAGCACTCTCAGCCTTTCGGTGCCTTGGATGGATCTTCACCGTGCGGTGGCGGTACAGTGTACTAGAAGGTGGCAGTGGAGTGAACGAGGCGGCTGCGCCGTATCTCGGCTGATTCTTTGGCGGGCGACAGTAGCGGCAGCGCTAGAGTCGCATGATACTGAAGATCTCAGAAGCGTCTGCATTTGGAGCGCACTCGAGTAGCCCGCGAAAGCGTGTATTTGCTTGTTTTTAGCACTTTTAATGCATTTTAGAGCCTGTATCAGTGTATGCATACCTGCTGAGCGCAATAGTGCACGATTAAATATGCAGACACGCAGTAATTGCATCAGGACATTCACTCTTTCAAGAGCCTGTCAACAACAAAAAAAAAGAAAACATGTAGTGCAATCAGAATTTGCACGGATCCGCCTAGTTTTTCACTCAAGCAGCGCTTTGAGCAGCGCTACGTCATAAGTGGCTACTGCCGAGCTACTATGAGGGAAATATCAAAACCGCGAATAAATCATACACTAGTTTTGTCGGCAGTTTCTATATCCAGAGCACTCTTCCTCATATAAGTCCACACGCCCTCGATTGTTTCATGAGAAACCCGATTATAAGTAATGTTGTCACCACATTTATATCGGTGACAACTTAGTTTTATAATCTCAGTTTTGCAGAAGATTATATTTAATGCTTTCTGAAAGGCTTTTTTGTTTTCACCGCATGCTTTCACGCTCACTTTGATTCTTTTGTACAAGCTCCAGGAGGCCGAGCCAGAGAACCGAGCTGAAAGAACGCCTGTGCCTCCTACTCAAGAACTCTATGCCAAAGGGCTTATCTTGAACTTATTAAAGAGTGTCAGTTGTATAGTATACATAGCCCGTCTGTTACTCGGCGCAAATTCACTGTAACCAGTTCTCATTTTGTATCGACAGCTTAAATTGTACTGCTTTCCTAATATTATATTAGCGTAACGCCGTTGCAAGCGAAAAAAGTTATGACGATGTTTAGTAATATAGGTGTAGTTTTCTTATGTGTCAAAAGTGTAGGCAGGCGTTGGTGCATTTTGTTTTGAGAAAAATAACTTGTATATGTACACAGTAAACACACGCACACAAATATATATATATATATATATATATATATATATTGATTGAATGATATGTGGGGTTTAACTTCCCCAAACCACCATATGTTTATGAGAGACGCCTTAGTTGAGGGCTCCGGAAATTTCGACCACCTGGGGTTCTTTAACGCGCACCTAAATCTGAGCACACGGGCCTACAACATTTCCGCCTCCATCGGAAATGCAGCCGCCGCAGCCGGGATTTGAACCCGCGACCTGCTGGTCAGGAGCCGAGT